ACACCAGATGGGAGGAATCTAAAAGGAATGGAAATCTATATTTGCATTTTTATGTCCAGATTCAGTGGGTTAACTTAATGTTTATTACTCCATTTGGACTCAACTAACCTGTAGTATACGGACTCTAGATGTATGACAGTAACCCAAGTACAGCAACTAAATAGTAGGAGTTGGTACAGCTGCATTGTCATGAAGTCAGGCTTGGTCAGGTCTCATTAGTTGGCTCCGAAACAATTGAAAATCACCAAGACAGTTCTGAAGTGTAGTACATTTCTACTTTTGGTAAGAAACCTTACCTAATTATACTATGCCTTGAAATTCTAGTTCATATTGTGAAACTAATTTCTAAGAGTTCAGAATGTGAAGATCAGCCTTTACAGTTTTTTTAGACATGTTTGTGCATTATTCTATTTGACAAACATGGCAGAATTCAGGTAAATATAGTTAGTTATAAATGGTTGAATGCCTTCCTAGGGGTTTCTTGTTCAAACATGGGAGCACATAACTTGAGGGAACACTTTTTTTTCTGCCATCATAAACTTAGCACAGAACAATAGGACAGCCAACCAGCCTTTCCTTTGCCAGCATGTACTGCCAGATGCAGCATGGAGACACTGCCATGATGAAAGCAAATTCCAGACTGGGAGGGACACAGTGCAGCTGGCCTAACCTGACAGCTTGTTAGATGGTTTCAGTACTGAAATCCATGAAGAACTACTTACAAGGCTAGGAAGAACGGTGGACAGAGAAAAAAGCTGCTGAGAGGAACAGAAGGGGCCCCAGAAAGTAGGCTGCCCCTGGTTTTAAAATGTTTGTGGACAGATTAAAGAGAAAACACTGATGAGAGAGACTACCTTGATTGGGAAACCCAAAAGTAAAAAAACTGGGGGGTTAGGGAGTCAGATTACAAAAGTGGCATGAAATTCATTTGCTATGTTACATACACATACCATAATAGAGGCTGAAGTCAGGTCCCAAAAAAATGTACACTGTTGAGGAATAAACCACACTTTTTTGTTGTTATCCACTCAAAAATACACCCTCTCCGAGCCAACGAGGTTCTGCCGGCTGCCCCACCCTATGTGTGGGCCGAGGCCGGCGGCCACGGGGAGACACTGGGAGGAAGCCACAGCCACCATCCCCATCCTCACAAGTAACTAGCTGCCACACAGGCTGAGGTGATAATGACTGAAGTACGGAGCACCCTGACATTTGTGTTGTTTGATTGACTTTACAGGCCTGGGGCTGGTGGCCTGGGTAACTTTAGAGGGTAGCAATATGCAATGCCCTAATGGTTGTGGATTTTCTACTGTCCTATTACTGTTTTGTTTCATTTAGTGTTCCCTTTTACTCCCTTTAAAATTTTTTTTAAAAATTGCAAATCTTTTTTTTTTTTAAGCCTCACAAAATTAGCTGGTGCTTTCAGAGAAAGGTTAGAGTTAGACTGTCCTTTCAGGGTTAAGGAATGTTTAACAAGGTGCTGGAGACTAGCTGGTTTTGTTTTTTTTTTTTTTTTTTTTTTTTAAGAAATTTGTGCAGTGAAGAGCACATTTTGAAGGTTTTACATTATTACATGATTTTGTTACTGATAATTGCTCATTGAATGTGAATATTTCTACTATTACTGCACAACCAGGCAGGCATTTGGCGAGTGACCTATATCCCCAGCCCTGTTTGTCTCTTTTTTGAGAGGAGGATTCCCTACAAAGTTCAGGCTGGCCTTGAACTCACTTTGTAGCCCAGGCTGACCTTGAATTTGCAGCAGTCTTCTTGCCTCAGCCTCTCATGGTGCTGCGATTAAAGGTGTGTTCCACAATGCCCAACATAGTTTTAGAAGGCAATAATAGTAGAATTTGTAACATATAATATGGCAGAAATTATAGTAAGACTATTACAGTCTGAATTTTAATAACATCTGTATTATGATAAGATATAATGTGTAATTTTAATAGAAGCCAGTAAGGAAAGATACAGAGCTTTTCCAGATCACTCATGTTAAATGATGCCTGTTTGAAGTAACCCTAAAGGATCTTGTCTGAGCCTGATAAATTCTAATTCTAGACAGACTTCCTCAACAGTTCGGGTATCAGTGCTGATCACGGAGCATTCAACAAAGCAGAGATTCTGTTCAGAGTATAGTGAAACTCTTCTCTTGCTTTCAGGGAGTTCATGTTATTGTTACAAAAACTCTGAATACTTGCACACATAGAAAGTTAAAACAGTATCAGAAATACCACAAAGAAGTGTGACAGTTGTAAATGTTTTTAGAGGTGTAGAACATTTTATGTATTTGGGGAAAAGGAATGGGTATGTGGCGGGGTAAAACACATAGAATAGAACTTGAAATGGGTCCAAAAAATTAGTCATTTCAAGCATATACTGTCAGCAAGGGAGCAGGTCACTGAGGATGCAGAGGTGACAGTAACCCCAGCAGTCTAGTTGAAGGGCTCTCCAGGGAAAACCTGCAGGCAGTACAGCCTGGGCAAGGAAGAGAATGCTTAGAGTGGAACCAACACATAAAAGTAGTCCTATTGGAAGATGGAAATAGTACTTACCTTGATTTGTTATTATACCTTGCATAAATGTATTGGGCTCTGATAATCTATAAACAAGTATAAATGTACATCATTTCTCTACCCTATTTGAGCTAAGTATACAGCACTGAATAAAACTCCCTAGTGACCTAACAGGGATCATAAATGTCTTATCTTTAAGAGGTTCCTTCCTAACGCTTACCTCCTCATAGATCTGTACCAATTTAATTAACATTTAGTCCCACTAAGAAACCTGCAGCTACTTCCTATTACATACAAAGTTTAATTTCCTTTTACAATATAGATCTTCCATGAATTGATTTCAGTCTTACATTTTTTTTCACACATATAACTGTCTCTATGTATTGGAAAACTTAAAACTTTTCCTCTAGTTATTTTTAATATGTAAGTAATTGATGTGAACTGTAGTGACTTGCCTATGCTACAAACACCAGAACTACACCCCCCTCCCTGCAAATATTTTGGTATCTGTTAACCACTTTCCTAGCCTCTAGTGACATCTCTTCTGCTATTTCTGTTAATTAACTTTTCTGTCCTCCACAAATGAGTGAGAACTTGCAGCATTTTCTTATCTATGCTTGATTTGTTTCACTTATGTTGCCTACCAGTTTCATCCATGTTGCTGCAAATTGCAGAGTTTTATCCTTTTGGGTGGCTGAATAATATTCCACTGTGTGTGCATACTTTGCGGGGGTACTGGGAATCGAACTCAGGGCCTTGCATTTGTCAGGCAGGCACTTATGCCCACGAGCTATCTCCTCAGCCCCAGCCATTTTTTTAATTCATTCATCATGGGACAACTCGATTAATTACATATTGTGAATAGTGTTAGAGTAAACATGGACATGCAGGCATTTCTTTGATATATAGTAGTTCATCTGCTTTGGATGTATAACAATAGGGTTGGTAGATTGTATGACAGGCCCCTTGAGTTTTTGGTTTTTTTAGGAACCATAGTGTTTTCCACATCACATATACTAATTCACATTCCCATCAGCAGTATTTGAGGTTTCCCCTTTCTCTGCAGCCTTACTAATAGCCTGTTTCTTATCTTTGACAGAAACCATTCTAGCTGGTGTGAAATATCTCATTGTGGTTTGGATTTCATTTCCCTGATGATTAGTGATGTTGAACCTTTCTTCATATATGTGTCCATTTTTATCTTTTGAGAAATGTCTATTCAGATCATTGGCTAATTTTTAAATCAGACTGGTTTTTTGCTGTTGAGTTCTTTGGAGATAACTAGTATAATAATCCACTCAAAGTCTCACCTTGTAGTTCTGGCTGGCCTTGAACTTATTTTGTAGCCTAGGTTAGCCTTGAACTTCTAGCAGTCCTCCTGCCTCAGTCTCCTAAATGCTGGGATTATAGACATGTGCCACTACACCTGATTTGGTATAGTTACTTTAAAATTTAAGTAAGCACTATTTAAATTTAATCTAAAATAATCTTCCTCCTTTTCTAGTAACAAATCTGAGTAGTATGTAATTTCTGTCTATTCATCATTTCCTTCCTTCAAAAAATCTTTTCCGGGAACTAAAAAATAAAAAAATAAACTTCTCCAGGTGTGATAACACACCCCTATAATCCCAGTATTTGGGAGGCTAAAGCAGGAGGATCACCAGGAGTTCAAGGCCAGCCGGAACTAAATAGGAAGACCCTGTCTCCAATTAATAAATAAATATATAAACAGACTTACATAAAAGATACTAGAAACTAGGAAGATCTTTCTCAAATGAAAACCAGGTCAAGAGAGGAAGCAAAAAAGTTGGAACACTATTCTAAAATGTCCTTATCTTTTGTTGTGTAGATGTTTTGTCTTTACTGGTTAAGCATCTTTTATACAAATCTTAGTTATTTTTACATTGCTTTAAAACTGATCAAATATTGCCAGCTTTGTAGAATTGATTCATTAACGTGTTAGACATAGGGTTTATCAACAGTGTGCTTTTATGCAATGAAAAAAATCAATAGTATATCATTTTCCTTCCAAACACTGGCTATGGTTTTTAATTTTATTTCTCTAAAAACACTTTGTCTTACAGCACTTTATTTGTACTGTTTGCACATGATATCTAAGAGCGTGGGCTTTGAAACCAGACAGATGTAGTTTTTAATTACAATTTAATTTATTGATTTAATGTGACCTGCTACAAGCTATTTAGTATTTCTCTGTGTCTTCATTTTCTCATTTCTAAAATGAGGTAATACCTTCTTCAGTAAGTTTTATTAAGAATAAGTAAGAAAATTAGTATAAAGTGTTTAGCACATAGTAACCACTCAATAAATGATAGTCTTACATTATTGCCACTTACTATCTTAAGTTTTTAAAATCAAATTAATTTATTTAGTTGTCAGCATTATACATTTCACTATGTATTTTACTGACTACTACCTTTTCAAAAACATAACAAAGTAATAAGTAACATTCTATTTTACTTTCAGTCAAAGAAAAATAAGAAGAAATCAAAGTCAGATGCTAAAGCAGTGCAAAACAGTTCACGCCATGATGGAAAGGAAGTTGATGAAGGTATTTGAGCAAGGGAAAGGACTCTAGAAAATTATAAATCCTTTTTTTAACCAAGGTGTATTATATAAAAGCTGCATTTGTTTCACTTAATCTTATATTTAGATAATTACTACAGATTTTAATATACAGTTTTGTAACATTGTTAGGAAACACTTTTGTTATCAAAATTAAGACTCCTTGAAATTTTAGGTCTGCCTCAGTATTTTGAGCAGCTGAAAAGCCATTAATTTTGTCTTTGTTTCTTAAAAAGTATGGTGTGGGTTTTCATTGTTCTTATGTATGCCATCCCTGGGAGGCTGTGTGCAGATCTTGAAACAAGCCATTTATTACCATAACCTATTGGACCCATTTATTAGTGATTATATATGAGGAGGGGTTTTTTCACTTCTATCTAGTAAAATAAAGATATATAGTGACTTATTTCTATCACTTTTTCTAAACCATAGATGACATTTGATAAAAATTTACTAGGGTAGATCATCGTAGTTTGTTGCCTAACACAGTATGATGAGATTAGAATAAATTTTCACAATAAATTAATCAACACTCTTGGTTTTTAGTCTAATATCTAAATTTATCGTGATCTTTTATGCCCCACCCCATTTTTTCCTCAGAACTACAACTTTTTGGTTTTCCCCTTACTGAATAACATTTTTTTTCTGGGGCGATGTCAGGAGCCTGGGAAACTAAAATTAGTCACAGAGAGAAACGACAACAGCGTAAACGTGATAAGGTGCTGACTGATTCTGGTTCATTGGATTCAACTATCTCTGGGATAGAAAATACCATCACAGTTACCACCGAGCAACTTACAACTGCATCTTTTCCTGTTGGTTCCAAGAAGAATAAAGGTATATTAGTGGAGCATAAGAGCGGTACATCAAATCAGACCTTTAAACGAGATGTACAAAATATAATGTCAGAATCTTTGAACTGCTAACATTATGCTGATATACCCTTCATGAGAGTGTTGTGAACCATGTTTTGGTTGAACTAATACCAGCAGAGTTAATTGATACGTATTGCCTAATGAATGGCTTATTAAGTTAAAAGTTGCCTTTCTGCATTGAGTCACATGAAAAAATGATGTTTCTTTTCCTTGTGTATATTGCTTTGCCTCAAGCCCCTTGCATCTCCATTTCTTACAGTGGCTAAAATATTTACTAAATAGAATTATTTATCACCATTCTGCATGTTGGATGCTTTCATTCCAGAATAAAACAAGCATGTTCTGGTTAGTGCAGGGGCCATCTGGATTATCACCCGCAGCTTTTATAGAGATTTGATAAAGCCAGACCAGAACTTCAAAAGTTATCAAGCTGTTTTTCCTCCTGTGCGTCATATGTCACACTACCTAGTGTTGGTGGCCTCTTGGTAGCAGTTTACATTGCCATCATTGTACCCCAGACACCCCAGTCTGCAGAGTGATGCTGTTTGACTTGTTTCAGAGTATTGGCTTATCTTCCTTTGTCTTTGTTAATGACCCTTCTCATCTCTCCATCCCTCAGCTGTTTCCAGACCACCTTTATAGCCTTGTTACTTTTTTCTCTTTTGTTTTGTAACTTGGAGTTTATTGCCATCGTACACCAATGATCTTTACCCATTCTCTTTCTCTGTCATGGATCAGCTGTGCATTAGTGTTTTTGCTGTCTTGTGCATGCCTTCCTTGCTTGCACAATCCTGTTTCATGCTTTCTTTTTAATGCATTGTGATCATTATGCTTTTTGGGATCAGAGAAATAGTATTTTTGAGTTGGGATACTTTTTCTCACCTCTTGCCGTATTTCCTAAATTGTAGTCCCAAATACTGGCAGAGTTCTTAAGTTGATGTGTTTGCTTCCAGGATTGTTGAAAAGGCAGCTGGTATTGTTGAGTGGTGGCAAAGTTGAATCCAATTTCAGAGCCTAATTCTCCACTTCCTACTTAAAAAGCCTTGATAGTCATTGCAGAATAACTAACCCTATTTATACTTGGGCAATTTTACATGTTAGTTGTCTAAGAATATGGTAACTAGAGAACTGAGTTCCTTTATGAATACATGATATGTGTTATAAAATTAACTTTTTTCAGTGTAAGATTTTGGCACTTGAAGGGGCAGTTTATTATAGATAATAAGTAAAAAGTTGTATATTACTCCTAATTTAATGTGCATAGTGGCCTGTTTAGTATTAAATAAATTTTATTTCTATTTTAACCAGGTGATTCTCATCTAAATGTTCAAGTTAGCAACTTTAAGTCTGGAAAAGGAGAGTCTACACTTCAGGGTGAGAGAAAATTACATGTAACTTAAAATTGAAGGCCCATCAAAGTAGAAACTTATACACGTCTCTTTCCTCACATGAATGACACAGAAGGAAAGCAAAAGGTTTAAAATCGATTTTTAATAACTAAAACAACCACAATTCAGAGATTTTGCAAAGTAAATAATAGGAAAATCACTCTTGCTTCACAGTATGTTCTAGCTGTATATGAAAACTTCCAGTAATAGTTTCTGTACAATTTTGGTTTTTGTTTATGTCACTTAAGCCAATAGACAGGTGTCTTTGTTGGGTATGAGTCTAAAATAGGGATATTGGGGGTAAAACACTTCACCTTTGTATATAAAGAAAAAGTTTTAGTTCTTAAATGTTTAAATTACTGCCTTAACAATATCAAATATTTTGTAATAAAAGGACTATAATCTAATTATTTGGATCTTCACAAATAGAAAGTACAGTTACTCAGTTAAAGTGATTAAATATAGTGACATATAGCTGACCTGAAGATATTAAGTGTTACAGAAAAACAAATTTATAAAAATAAGCACCTTCTCATTTCAGGCTTGTTCTTAACCACTGTCAGCTTCCTTTACACTCTTGATATTGGATCCTGGCTATACATTACAGTCATCTGAGGAGTCCCTGCCTCAAAAAACTCCAGAGGCACATACATACATGTATAAGAAGATGCACGATATTCACAGTCACATACATACATCTGGTGTCCTGGCTGAGGCTCCAGAGTCTGTGTTAAGGAATTTCTCAGTTGATTTTAATGTGCAGCCAGGTTGTAGAGTCACCGCCTTATGAATAGTATACAAACTGTGTAAAGAAAGAACATATAACTAAAGAGAAGTCTTCCTCTCTTAGTGGGTGAGTATTCTGAGTATACTAGAATTATGCTTCATTTTCCTGTCTGCTTTGTTGTACTTCTTGGAGCCGATCATCCTACCGTGAAAGGCATCATCAGTATATATGTTATGCCTAGGCCCTCTATTAATTTTTAAGTTAGAAGGGAACCATGGTGATCATGGCACTTCAAAATTTATTTTGATCTATAAAACTTAAGCTATTTAAAGGATATTAATGGAAAAAAAGATGATGCATTTAAACCAAGCAAGTGTAGAAACCTGAAACTATCCCATTTTTAATTTTTCTTTTCTTTTTTTAAGTTTCCTCAGGATTGAATGAAAACCTTACTGTCAATGGAGGAGGCTGGAATGAAAAGCCTGTGAAACTCTCCTCACAGATGAGTGCAGGTGAGGAGAAGTGGAACTCTGTTCCACCTGCTACTACTGCAGGCAAGAGAAAAGCAGAGCCCTCTGCTTGGACCCAAGACACCAGTGACACAAACTTGAATGGGAGAGACTGGGGCAGGAACTGGAGTGACCGCTCCATATTTTCTGGCATCGGTAAGAACTGTTAGAAATTTCTTTAAGTTCGTGAAAGTTGCTAATCAGCTATGTTTTTCAGTTTTTCAAGAATGGAAAAAATGCATCAAAAGAAAATTTAATCATGATGTACAGAAGCAATAATTAACTCACCTCAAATTGTTTAGGAGAAGCAAAGTGAGGAACTGAAGTGAATAGTATTTACCCCTTTACTCTTTATGTCATGTTTTCCCATAAGGTATCACATTTAACTGGCAATGTAGCTAGCTGGTATAAATGTATTCTTAATGGTGCGTTGATACCTGTGTGAGTGGACTTTTGGTTAATTTCAGTACTGTTGGGCCTAAATAAAAATAGTCCCTATTTATAATAAATTTCCTCCCGATTCTGTGGGGTTTTTTTGTGTGTGATTTTGTTTTGTCTTTGAGAAAGGGTCTTGATGTACTTCAGGCTGGCCTCAAAGTCATGGCAATCTTCCCTATTGTTGGGATTATAGGTGTGGGCCATCATGCCTGGCTCTCCTGGATTTTAATAATAAAGTCCAGTTTTTGAGAAGTGTATTTCTTCTATAGTTACTAAGTTTAAAACAACTTAATTTTCAGTGTGTGGGTATGTTATCATAGAAAAGAAACTCATGTTTTGTATGGAGAATTGCAGAAAGGAGAAAGCCCCCACTGTTGCCATATCACTCCAGTAACAATGACTGTTTATTTTTATTTCTTTATGATCTTCTCCCTGTGTATGATTTTTATCTTTGACATAATTCAAATTAAATATGTATTTCTATTTTTCTTTTGCAACCCCTCAACTTTGTAGCAGGCATTTTCCTTGCTCTTTGAAAGTGTTTTTATTTAATGGCCCTATGATGTATTTTTTCTTGCTTTTTTTCCTATAAGTATTGTGTAACATAGTTTACGTAACTGTTCCTATATTATGGAAGGATAATTTTTCCCCCAAATATGTTAGATAAGGTTACATCGGATATGTCAGTATCAGTTTCTTGAAGTGATTCAAGTTAAAGATGATATAAATGTTTACAACACTCTATTACATGTTATCACAGTGTTTTCTAAAAGTCATTCTCATGCTCTCAAGGTTTGTTTAAGTGCCCATTTGTCACTGGTGGAAGTAGTCATTTTTTTCTTTCCTTTTTGTTTTATTTTTCTAATTTAATAAATAAAAATATATAAATTGTTGTGGTTAGCTTTTTTAAATCACTAATGATAGTGAATATTTTTCCACAGCTTTATCCTTTGTCTCTTTTATGAATTATCTGCTCATATTCTTTTCCATTCGTCAAATAACTTGTTTTATTTTTAATTAAATTTAATTTCTTGTCCCTTCTGTATAGTTTTTTTTGTTACGCGAATGGCAGGTAGTTTTTGGTAGTTTGCTTTACCTTGAGAAGTAGGTGCTGGAAAGCTTTTAGTTGGTAAGTAGAAAAAATTTCTTTGCTGTTAGCTTTTTCTTCTGTCACTTTTTAAAAGCTAAAACTCTCACAAAGCAAACTTTAGATTATTTATTAATATTGTTCTTAAGATTGCTTTCCTTGGGCCAGGGATTTAGCTCAGTGGTGTTAAGTGCCTGACTGGCAAGTGCGAGGTCGTGAGTGTGATCCCTGGTACCAAAAAAAAAGATTGCTCTTCTCTCCTTCCCATTCATGCCATGTATAAAAATTGTCTAGAAATCCCAAATTTTGTTTTAAAAGACATTCTGTAAACTTCCACCCTCATTTTCAATAGAGTTGAAAGCACACATTTCTAAGCTAAAAACATCACTTCATATTTAATAAAAGAAATGATGAAGTTCTATAAAGTAATGTTAGGAACTATGACCTTTTGGGATACTCGTAATTTACTTTTATAAGTATGTGTAGCATTTCATAATAGGATACAGATTAGGTGATCCTTGCTTAGTGTTGCTACAGCTAAAATTAAGTAAATTAGATTTCCTCCCTAGACATTTGTTGACATTAAGAGGGAACTCTTTCAAATTAGATCTTCAGTGGTTTAGAAGAGTAAAAGGTGTGTCTAGTCACCTGGAGTTATGTTTCCTCGAAATGCAGTCAAATGTCACATAATGACAGGAATAATTTCTAAAATTATTAACAATTAAACAATTTCATGGTTTTGTGAACATCATAGCATATACTTAAACTAAGACAGCTACAATGTTGCTAGATAGTAAAATCTTACAAGATCACATATACATGTGGTCTGCCATTGACCAGTGTGTCATTTTGTAGTACATATATAATCAAATATAAGAAAGCATCTTGAAAGCACTGAGAAGATCACATGGTATAAATGAATGAGCATGGACTAGTTCAGTCAGACCTATTAGGCATGAACAGAATAGCTGTTCCAGCCTTCATGAACATTTTGTTAGGTTTTGTTTTGTTTTGGTTGATTGGAATTGCACTCACAACCTCATATTTACCAAGCAGGCGTTTATGCCACTGAGCTAAATCCCCAGCCCTCTGTTAGTTATTTTTAACCTATATGTTATGTTTAAGAATTGGTTATAATCAGTGGTTAAGTAAGAATTGGTTATAATCAATGTCAAGGCCTGACCCAAACCAATTGCTTAATTATAGACAGCGAAGTAGTTTGGTATTATGGAAAGAGCACTTTGAAAATTAACTCGGTTCCGGTTGTGCTGCTCAGCCATTTTCCGCTCTGACAGTGTCTAGAAGAATTGGCATAGGAATAGAGTAGTAGTTGGTGTAAGGGACCTGAGCACATGAGAGACACTTAGGAAATAGTAGCTATTGCTACTGTTATATAATATTACTGATTCTAATTTCTAAGGTTATCTTTAAGTACTGTTATCATAGTTTTAAGTCTGTACTTATCTTTCAAGTGTCATTGCAAATTGAAGGTTCCAAGTGACGTTCTTTATTTTAACAGCTGCTTGGTCTAGTGTGGATAGGGGAATGAATACCTCTGAACAGAATTCTGCTTCTTTTGCATCTCTCACACTTAACTCTGCTGTTTCTGGTATGTGAAAATAGTCTTTCGTTTAGTTAACAAAAAAATTTTCTGTTTAAATTAATTTTACCACTTGTTACTTGAAAAATGATCAGTACCAAGTACTGCTATCAACATAAATAATACATAAAATACCAGAGACCCTTAAAGGGGGTGAGGGAGGGAAAGACCTAAGTCCTTCTGTGTAAATGGCTTAGATCCTTTCCCCAGATGAGGGAGGCAGACTCTGGCCTGATGTCACTCACAGTGCATTAGCACACAGACGAGCGATGTGGACGGCTTTCCTTTTAGGTCAGGATCATTCTCTGCTGTTACTAGTATACTCCTGCCATAGCTCGGGTAACAGTTAGGCTTTTTATTTCTGCTTACTTTTATTCATCATGAGTTTATAACTAACGTCCCCCACATAATAGTACTTTGAATATGTCAATTTAGAATATACACTATTAAGGCTGGACATGGTGGCACATTCCTGTAATCCCAACAGTTAAGAGGCCAAGGCAGGAGGAACGCTGCTAGTTCGAGGTCAGTCTGGGCTATGACATGAGTTCAAGGCCAGCCTGAACTTCATTGTGAAACCCTATCTCTAGAAAAAAAAAGAATATACACTATTAGTTGGGTGTGATGGCTCATGCCTGTAATCCCAGCACTTGGTGGAGTTGAGTCAGGAGGATCCCTTTGAGTTCAGAGCCAGCCTAGGCTGTATAAGCAAGTTCAAGGTCAGCCTGAACTACATAGTGAGACCCTGCCTTAAAAAATACATACAGGGGCTGGGAATTTAGCTCAGCGGCATAAGCACCTGCCTTGCAAGCAAGCAGTCGTGAGTTCGATCCCCGGTACTGATAAAAAGGAAAGAAACAAAAAATAAATAAATAAATAACATACAATACACTATTATTACTCAAGACCAAAATGTAAAATAGAAGGAAAATGTTCAAATGGAGAGGGGGAAAAGAAGGGAAAAGTAAAAAAGAGAGAGAAAATGGAATCAAAGCTTTTGTAAATGGGGAGGAAAGAAGGGGTTGAAGGGAGGAGGGTAGGGGTCTGGGAGGAAACAAGTTATACAAGTACAAATTCTCAATGATGAATGTGATCGTTACATGTACCTAAAATGTACCAAAAAAATCTGATTGAGAAAAAAGAATAAATACTGTTAAAGAACTGTCAATTCAGCATTATTTACATAAATGTAGGAGATCCTAGTTTGCAGTGCTTGGTTACGTTGGAATTGATGGCTCATTTAATAATTGTTTCCCACAGTATCTGGTATCACTCACCTAGAACAAGGGTCGGCAGACTTTCATGTACACATTTGAGGCTTTGTGGGCCATACTGTCCTTTGCAGCTGCTAAACTACTGTGGTAACAGAAAAGCAACTAGAAATAACATATGAGCACATAGTTGTGTCAGATTCTGAAATATTATTATTTTTGATTTTTTTTTTTTCTTTAAAGGGCAGATTTATTTGACTTGCAGTGATTTCCCCACGACCACAACCATTTAAGTGTCAAAACTGTTCTTGACTCATAGACTGTATAAAAAACAGGATAGTTGAATTTGACCACCAGGTCATGGTTTGCCCGCAGCCCCCTTAGAATACATTTCCTTCCATTCCACTGGTGGCATCTGATTGTTTCCCCCTTTCAGTGACTTTGTGCAACATAGATGCTGTTCTCTTTGTACACTGAAACACAGCAACATGGCTAAAGTAGCAGCAAGGTGACAAAGTGCTTATAAACAGGTGTTATACTAAATATGCACTACTTTCATAGGTTGATGGTTACATTTTATATGAATGTATGTAACTGTTTTGAATATGTGCCAGGCAGTTACCATATTAGTGTAATGCTAGTAAGACCATCTATAACCAAATGGAAATTCTTACATGAGTGAGTACTCTGAGGGGAAGAAACAATGGGATGTTAGTCTGTTATACTAACCGGGAGTCTTCCCTTCTTAACCATTTCAGTGGCTTGGAAGCCAAAATGAGTATTAAAGTTGTCTGCCTACTCTCACATGGAAATTCTGATTCTGAAAGTTTAGGGTGTCCTTGTGCCTGATAGACAATCACTGCTGTCATTTGTACTCTGAAATGAAGATGATACTGCTGTAGAGAAAGGAGTTTCAGGCCTAGCCTTCATTATACAGCACCCCCCAAAACTATGTGCAAGCTTCTGTGTGATGCCTGGCTATTTGACTACCATAGTGTTTGTTGCATTTCTAAAAAGCCTACTCGTCTCCCACACCCCCCAAAAAGACGAAACTTGAAAGATTATGTTCCCTTCAGTATTCCAGAATTTTCTGGACTTTTCTTGTCTCTGTTCTCTGGCTCACCCATCTAGACGATCATCAGTCTGTTTCTTTAACTTCCCTTGTCCAGGAAAGCTCTCACTAACTCAGACATTGTCTAGTTCTGTCTGAGGGCCTTATGGATAGAGGCATAGCCCAAAACATTTAGAGTTAATGCCAGTAGCCGCATTTCGTTTGTGCTTTACTGCTTGCTATTAAGAAGGAAAGTAATTTCATTTTGACTTCTTGAAATTGGTTAGATAATTGTTTGACATGTATATTACAAACAGACAGGATCTACTGGACTGCTACTAGGAACAAGCCTCTTCTGATCTGAAGCAGACCTGATTATTGGATTTAATCTAAATTGCCCTCAATTCTACTTTTCCTTTAACTTAACTCTTTATGTCTAAGTTTTTTCTTAGGAGAAATTTAAAAATTAAGTCTCCATGTGCAAAGTATAGACGTGTTGTTATGAAACATCAGGAAATTCCATTGTTAATTTTATTGCATTCGTTTTTCATTTAAGGGTCTACCGCTGAGCCAGTTTCTCAGTCTTCCACCTCAGATTGTCAGTGGGATGTTAGCCGTAATCAGCCCTATATCGATGATGAATGGTCTGGGTTAAGTATGTGCTTTTAAAAATTATCAGTTTTTTTTTTCCAGAATTTTCTTCTAGTGCCCTAAATTCATGCTTTATGTTTTAATCCTAATTTTTCACTTTTATAAAGATCATACTAATATAATTTAATATCAAATGTACTACTTGAAATCTGATTATTGAATACCTGTAGAATTAAAATTAAATTTTCATAATGATTGAAACGGTGTTTAAACATGATGTTTTCTTTAGTTGTTCTGTAGTATTTCTTTTTTTTTTTTTTCCTTAACAAGTGGTATGTTGTGATTCTGGTACAAAAAAAGAGACTAGAATACAAAGAGAATGGCTTTGGATTTATGAAGTGCACGTGTTTTTGTGGTAACAGAGTACAGGAAAAGGTAAAGGCAAGAGTCATTAAAGAAAAAGGGAAAAAAGAAACGACTTTCCTGTTCAGAAAGTATTTCATATAAAAATAAAATATTTTGAGCTGGGTGTGGTGGTACACGCCTTTAATCCCAGCCCAAGGGAGACTGAAGCAGGAGGATTGCCACAAGTTTGAGGCCAGTTTGGGCTACATAGTGAGTTCAGGGTCAGCCCGAACTATGCAGTAAGACCCTGTCTCAAAAGACAAAACCAAAACAAAGTCTTGACACTGTTTAAACCCTCATAACTCCACATTTAAGAATTTAGTTCTTTGAGTTTATCTTGTTTTGTTTTTTGTTCTCCCCGCCTCCCTCTCCCCATCTCCCTCCTTCTCCCTCTCCCTTTTCTTACCCTCCCCCTCTCCTTCTCTCTCTGTAGCATTTTTGTACTACCCTGTGGTGTTTTCCACTGTTTTGGTCTTTCTTTTAAATAAATAAATAAATAGTACACTTACCTCAGTTTGCCCAAGCCAGTACAACTACTTAAATAGTCGAGGGTGCTATTCAGGCCTTGCTAGCCTGGCTCCAGGGTTCATGCTCTGTAACCACTGCATGGTATGGGCTTGACAATGCTGCTGATCAGAAGGTAAGCTTGCGCCATAGTGGTTAAAGAACAGTAATTATAGGTTAAGGTTAGGAATAATGTAAAGGGTGATTATGGAAGGCTGTATTGTAAATTGCCCTCATTTGCAGTCTGAAAATTAGCAGATTGGGAATTAGAGGCTTAGTTTAGAAGGTAGACCTGAGTTTTGATCCTGACCTTAAAATCCTGAGTCTAGGGCCAGTAATATAGCTCAGAGGCACAGTGCCTGCATGGCAAGCACAGGGTCCTCAGTTTGATACCTGATACCAGAAAGAAAAAGGAAAGAAAATCCTGAATCTAGCATCCAGGATTGCTTGGGCTTTGTCACTTACCTTAAAATCTAAATTAATTGAGCTGTATATATTGGAACAAATAGTCTGTTGTATCTCCTTCCACAAACTGAAGATTTCTAGTGAGATATTAGATAAACATAAAACTCTCAGTAAATTACAGAGTATCATCTAAATCCAAGCTTAAGGAAGAATGGTCTGCTGTATGCAGACCAGAGTTAAGGAGTGATTATAGGAATCATTGGAGTGATTTGGGAAGCAGCAGTCAAGTATCTTGCGCTGCTGTGGTTGAGGTTAAGGAAAACCGAGCAAATAGGGCTCCAAGCTTTACTGCTGGACAGAGTAGCTCACTTTTACCTTATTGTACTAGATTCTTTAAATATCAAACAATGTGCTCAACTGCTGAAGATTTTTAAAAACATGGAGTGCAGAATTCTGTACTTAATTAATATATATCAGGAACACCGTCTTCCTCAAGTTTGTCTCTGTTGGCAGTTTTATATTCTAAATTCATTTTCTCTTAATTTTGTGTCTTGTCTTGCATTTTAGTGTGGTGGGGGCTTTCGTTTTGTTTTTTGGGGTCTTTTTTGTGGTACCAGGGATTGAACTCATGACCTTGCACTTGCCAGGCAGGTGCTTATGCCGCTGAGCTAAATCCGCAGCCCCTGTGGTGGTATTTTGATACTGAGTGGATTTTAGTTATTACTGATTTATAGGATGGGTGATTTCACTTTTGAGGTTAATCTACAAATATATTAAGTTAGCTTTAGATTTACAGTATAATGCAATATGGCTTGTGTATTCTCTGTGGTTTGAGAACTAGTGCCATTATTTGAGAAAAAGGCATTGAATTTGCCCACCTGAATATAAGGTTAAGATGCTATAGTGCAGAAGATAACTTTTTTTTTTTTTTGTCTTTTTTGAGACGGGGTCTCGCTGTGCAATTCAGGCTGGCCTTGAGCTCACTTTGTAGCCCAACCTGGTCTCTCAAACTCCTGCCTCAGCTTCCTGAGTGCTGGGATTACAGGTGTGAGCCACCACGCCCGGCCCAGAAGATAGCATTTTTAAAAATGAATGTTAATCTGTCATTATCTTGACCATAAAAAAATTAACATTATAATAACCCTTGTAAAAAGTAGGTGTTGTAGGGCTTTATTTTTGTTGGCCCATAGGAATGAATTTGTTGCAGCAGTGAGGCCAAGAACATGAAGTATTAATACAGGTTACCTGGGTTTGAATGTTATCTTAGACTTCTTAACCTTTGGCCTTATGCAAGTTGCATGATCATTCTTTGCCTCAGTTTCCTCATATGTTGAGTTCCTAGCTCCTCCTCCACTGAATTGCAAAAGTGAAATGAGCTCTACACATAAGCCATGAGAACACAGCCTCGAGTGTAGTCAGGTGCATGCTGCCATCTTTCTAGTGAATTCTAGCAGAATTAGTAACCTACTCAGTGGGTTGGTCAGCATCGTCTTGTAAACACTGAAGAGTGTTTACCAGTATATAAGTGATTTGTTTTACTTTAGCGTGGTTAGTATTGAAATAAGTTCTGACAGAAATAGCTGGCAACCAAATGAAAACTAGCAATGAGGTGTTTATACCTAACACATTAATCTACATGCAAATTAAATGGAAAGACACATCCTACCATTTTGAAAAGAAAGCCTAATGACTCTTTCATAAGACACTGGCAGCCTTATGGAAGAATTTTGAGATGAGAATTATAAACAGAGAGGACTGCTCATGTTATTCATTTCCAAGAGAAATATGGCTAAAAAGCTTATTAACATATTAGGCCACTAGTCTTAAAAATTATTCATTGAAAAGTTTTCTGTTGATGATTTTTGGTTTGAATAATTGATTTGTTATTTTAAAGTGATTTTATTTAATTCGTTTTTTAAAAAGAATCTGAAATCAGTAAACAGAAAAATCACTCTTAAGGCTTTGTCAAATCAGTATATAGTTATGCTTCTGATAATATTCTTATAGAAGTTAAACCTTACGACACTGTTTCCCAAAATTTAAGTCAATCTACACCTTTTGAAATATATTTTAACTAGGTACTTAACTAGATTTTTATACCTCACCACACCATTTTATTTTATTCAGAAAATGGGTCATATATAGTGTATTGTCTACTCAATTGCCTGGACTTTCTTTTACTTGATGGTTTCTTTTCTGACAGTCTTAAAGACATGGCTAGTGGGCAGCAATTTCATAAGTCTGGGTTTCTTACCTGTGAGGTTTAAGCAGAGCACATGACTTTTGAATCTGCTGTTTTTGTTGTTGTTTGTTGTTGTTGTTTTTTTTTTTTTTTTTTTTTTTGTACCAAGGATCGAACTTACAATCTCATGTTTCCCAGGCAGGCATTTGTGCCACTGAGCTAAATCCCTGACCCTTGAATCTTTAACAGTATGAGTACAGTAGTGAGTACTAAATAGAGTACAACAATGGTTCCTGACCTACTAAATCTTCTTTGTCCTTGTAAACATTATTGTACATTCAATATATATTACGTGTGTCTTACTGAGAGATATGTCAGAATTGTGAGAAATAAAGTTCTAATTACATATTCCTAATAGCTTGGAAATGGCCTTAATGTCATATAGTAGTTAATATTTGTTGTGCACCTACTGCATTGCTGTGAACTGTTTTATATTTACATATCCATAAAATCTTCCCAGCATCCATGAGGTTGGGATATAACCTATTAAGGTTAAGAAATTTACTTGGGCATGGTAATATATGCTTGTAATCCCAGAGTCTGGGAGATTGAAGCAGGAGGATTGCAACTTCAAGCTCAACCTGGGCAATTTACTTACTTAGCAAGACCCTGTCTCAAAAATGTTAGTGATGTAGCTCAGTGCAATGTCCCCAAGTTCATTGCCGATAAACTTCCCCACTACCACCACCAAAAAAAAGTTAAGACTTTTGATCAAAAATCACATTGTTACTAACTGTGGGGGGAATATTCAGGTATACATCTTGTGAACTGTAAGACCCATGCTCTTGACCTCTATATTAATACTATGTAATACTAACTCCAAATACCTGCTCATGGTAGTGATTTAGAAATACACAGAGTGACCTTTTTTGTAACTTATTTCACATCGTAATCATTTGCCCTGTTTGTCCTCCACTAGACTGTCAATTTGTTTATATTAGGTCTTTCCCTGTCCTCTGCTGGTTTAGCTTCGCCTTACTTCTTCCCTCTGTGATGCAGCCTATCGCTCTTCTTAATTGTCTGATAGGCTGCTCTATTTCCAGCCCTGAACTGTCTGTAGGGATACTATCTTACTGACTTTGATATTTCTAGAACCTAACTAGCTCCAATAAACAGTCTTTGCCTGATTGGGCTTTTAGGCAGGATATGGTGGTGCAGGCCTGTAATCCCACACTTGGGAGGCTGAGGCAGGAGGATTGCCATGAGGTTGAAGCCAGACTGGGCTATATAGTGAGTTCAAGGCCCGCTTGAACTACATGAAGAGATCCTGTCTCCAAAAACTCAAGTAAATAAATAAAAAAGATAACCATAACGATAAGATTCATACAAGATAAATCCTTTTAAAGACTATAATGTTAATTATATATGGTATTATCCTAAGAATAAATCAGTAGAATAGAGGAGAGTTAATAGCTAGTAGTGGGAAATGGTTGAGTTTTTGCAGTTAAATGATGCCAGGACAGAGCCAGGCATGGTACACGTCTGTAACCTAGCACTCAGGAGTCTGAAATAGGTTCACTGTGAGTTTGTGGCCAGCCTGCTCTACATAGTGAGACCTTGTCTCCCCTAAAAAAGGAAAAATAATGTTAAAGCCACTTGGAAATGAAGCCTGTCCATGATCATCTTATACCATTATCAGTAAAATCCAATCTTGGAAGAGCATATATGAGAGTGCATGATGTGTAGAGAACAGAGAAAGGAATTAACTTTGACAGCTCCTTGTTTCCAGGGTAAAGAACACATTTTTAGGATAAGTCAGTGATAGCTTCCTACAAGAAAGTAAAATTTTAGTGCCTCCTGGATGAAAGGGATTTGAATATCTGGAATTGAATTTATTTTTGAGACAAAGATACATAAAGCCCTAAAAGTGACTTAAATACTTTTGAATAATCAGATAATAGGAGCTCTGAGTAATCTGGGAAATGCAAGAATGTATAGATGAAGCATTTAAGGAAGTCATACATTATCTTATGGCCTGGTAAATTTGAAGAACCCAGTCTTGAAAAACTATAAGGATGAGGAAGGGTAACGTAAAATATCAGATTTAGGAGTATAATTTCAGTACAGCTGCTAAAGATTAATTATTTACCAGAGAAAAGATGAATTTTTAAAATGTGAGGAGTGAAATCAGAATAATATTAAAAATGTGCAGTAGGCCAGATGTTATGATACACACTTATCCCAGCATTGGGGAGGCTGAGGCAAGAGGATTATCACTGCAAGTATGAGGCCATCCTGGGCTAAAAAGTGAGTTCAAAGCCAGTCTGAAGTGTGTATGTAGTAAGACCTGTCTCAAGATTCTGCCTCAAACATACCCATAAACATACATACAATAGTGTAAAGAGTACAGATTCAAGAGAAAGAAAGAAAATGCAATTAAATGGTTAGTAGTTTTCCGGAATATCTTAAAAACTCTAATCATAAACCTAGCAGAATTTAGATAAGCTTAGGAGAAAGAAGAACAGTAATTTAAAATTACAGCTTAATTCACCATAAGGAATGGTTAGTTTTCATGTATGGTAGAAATGTTATGTAACTGATTGATTTACACTTAAATTTTAGATGGTCTATCTTCTGCTGATCCCAGCTCTGATTGGAATGCACCTGCAGAAGAGTGGGGGAATTGGGTAGATGAAGAAAGAGCTTCACTTCTGAAATCCCAGGAACCAGCTCCTGATGATGAGAAGGTAAGGGATTAGTGGATGTTCGCTGTGAAAGGCTGAGACCTTAAAAGTATCAAGACAGCAAATGGCAGTGTCAGAAACACAGTGTGGTTAGTAGGAGTGAAAAGCATCTCTAAAGGTTAGGGCTGGGGGTATGGCTCTATACACAGCATGTGCTAAGCATGTAGGAAACCCTCAGTTCAGTCTCAACAAAAGAGAGGGAAAAGAAATTGAAGCTGTATTTCAGGAATTTGAATTAGGAAGGGACAGAAGTAGTAATAACAAATAAGACTTTTAAAAAATAAGTTTGCATAGGTTAGGAAAGAGATAGTAGATGATAGCAACACGTACCAGGAAGGATTATGTGGAGGGAGTTTTGTGATTAACAGTAGGAGAGATTTTAGTGCAAGGTTCGCAGACTTGTTGAAAGGAGCCATATAGTATGATGCAGCCATAGGTACTGTGGAAATGAGCTTTATAGAAAGTGGTGCTAAATGGAATAGCATATCCATAGACAGAAAAGTAAAGGACCTAGAATAAAGTAAAATCCTAAAATGCATGATAGAGCACACTTGACTAACAGAAGAATGTCCTGAGGGAGGCAGCAGAGGATGGAGAATACATAGGTACAAGTGATTGGGTTGGCCTTTAATACACTAGTTAGAACTTCTTTTGTGTCCATCCAATCAATTTTTCTATAAATGTATATGTATCACACTGTATCTTTTAGTAACTTGTTTGTCATTAAGCATACTTTTGAGATTCTGTTCATATCCTCCTGCCTCAGTAGGGATTACAGGTGTGCACTACCATAACCAGCTAATATTAGAATATTTATCCAAGTTTTTCTTTAGAAAACTTGATGATATGGTTGTACTTGTAATGCCAACATGCAGGAGGCTGAGGCAAGAGGATTGCCATGAGTTCGAGGCCAATCTGGGCACCATAGTGAGTTTGAAGTTAAAGGTCAGGGTGCACTGCATAGTGAGACCTTGTCTCAAACAAAAAAGATTTTTAAAATTAAAAATGCAGGGCCAGGAATTTAGCTCAGCAGCATAAGCACCTGACTGGCAAGTGTAAGGTCATGAGATGGGTCCCTGGTACCAAAAAAAATTAAATAAAAATCCAAAGTAAATTTGTCAAAATATTAACTCTGTTATATGAGTAAAAAGATGATATGGCATCGTCAGGGTGGTGGTGCACTCCTGTAATCCCAGCACTCAGGAGGCTGAGGCAGGAGGATCATTGCAAATTCAAGACCAGCCAGGGCTCCAAAGTGAGCTCAAGACTAGGCTGAACTGCATAGCAAGACCTTGTCTCAAAAAGACAAAAAAAAATGATACGGTATTGATTTCAAATTTCAATCTTATCATTAACAAAAATAGTATTTTACCATTGGGAGCTACATTTTGGGGGCGTGATTATGTTCTAATGGGCTGAAAACCAGACTGATGTATTCTCCATTGAATGCACCAGTTTGTAGTATATTTTAATTTTCGTGAGCCTACAGAACACTTCGTGGCAAAAACTGCTGTAAAAATTGCCTTCACAGTTGGCAATCAGCTTGGACTGCAAATTGCTTAGTCAATGCCAGATTTTGGGTTTTCTCTCTGTTAGTAATTCCTATAAGCTCTTCAGTTGTTCATGACATCACCAAAACCATTCTACCACTGCCATCCCGAGCAGAGAGAGAGAGAGAGCAGTTACCCAGTTCAGCTCTTGCTGTCGGAATAGGATGGGATTGTCTAGCGTCTAGATTGTCTCTCTTTAGACAGAGCAAGCGGAACGTTTTTCCAGAGTTGAACTACATAGTGTGCGTGAAGTATCATAAATGTTTAACCTACAACTTCAGTTTGCTAGGCATTTCTTTGGCCTGCAGAATGTTCTTTTCATTGACATTCCTTTTCAAATTTAGTTTTTTAAATTAAGCCCTTTATTTTCAGACACAGATTTATATCTAAGAAATAATACAGAGAATAGCACACAAAAGACAGTAAACAAAAATACAAAGATAAAAAGACTGTTCCTTTTACACAATTTCTCACAATAATAACATCTTGAAAAGAAGTACACTTATCACAACAAAGATAATGACACTGATTCAGTTCAAGACACAGAACATTTCCACCACAGGGGCATGTTGTCCTTCCTGGGCTGGATATGCAGGAATGTTACCTCTAGGTGGCATGGCAGTTGCATGTTCAGTATTTTAAGAAACTTTCAAAATATTTTCTGAAATATCCATATCTCTTTACGTGCCCTTGGACTGTGTGTGGGTGACCTTGTAAGCGCTTACAGCTGTCACTGCTTCCTTTTTCTGTTAATTATTCTGATAAGTAATCCCTCATTGAAGTTTTGATTTGAATTTTCTTAAAAGCTGTATAGTGTCTAACATTTTTCCATGTGCTGTTTGGCATGTGTTTATCTTCTTTGATGCAATGTCTGTTCATGTTTTTGTATATTTTCTAATTGAGTTTTGGAGGTTTTGTACTGTTTATTTTCAGTGTGCTTTACATACTCTACCTGCCTGTAATTGTTGGAACTGCCATATTGCAAATATTTTCTTCCACTATACAACTTGTCAGTTCATTCTCTTAGCACGGTCAAATTAAATTTTAGTCCAGGTAGCTTTGCATTTTCTGCTCCATATTAAAACAAAATTATCTGTTTTGTGAGTATTTAAAACACAAAAGTTTACACAGCTCTCTAATTGTAGTGAGTAATAAAAAAATGCTAAAAGGAGTCTGTTGTAGACAGTAGAATAAAGGTCTATATGCTTCATTACTTTTTGAGACAGGGTTTCACCATGCAGTTCAGGCTGGCCTCAGACTCACAGCGATCCTCCTACCTTAGCTTCTTAAATACTGGGATTACAGGAATGTGCTACCATGCCTGGCCTTCGTTACATTTTTAATTTTCATTTTTTATTGGCTTCATCACTCATATTATTCATTGCTTTATTACATTTTCATTTTTTATTGGCTTTATTCCTCATTACTAATTCTTAGACTTGAGAAGATAAAGACTGAACATAGTGAAATTATTTCATAATTTCTGAATAATAGAAATTTAGCCAGTTAATTCACTTAGTATGTTTGCTTTTATTGTCAGGTTTCAGATGATGATAAAGAAAAGGGAGAAGGAGCTAATACAACTGGGAAATCTAAAAAGAAAAAGAAGAAAAAGAAGAAGCAAGGTGAAGATACCTCTGTTGCACAGGTAAAATACCAAGGTAGTGTTCATTACACACCTGCTGAAAATATGAAAGATGATAATAGATACTAAGAATGTGTGGCAATAAATGAGAGATTACGACATCAGATTTAATTGAAAAGCATTTGGTTGTTTTGTTTTGCCCATTTGGTAGTGGGGATCGAATTCACAACCTTGGACTTTTGGTTGTGTTGCTTTGTGGCGTTGTGTCTCGTTTTGAGACAGGGTCCCACTGTATAGTTCAGGCTGGCCTAGAATGCACATGTGGCCCAGGCTGGCCTCAAACTCACAGTGAGTTTGCTGCCTCAGCCTCCCCAGTGCTAGGATTACAGGCATGCACCACCACACTTAGCTGAAAAGCATTTGAAAAATTACATTTAAAAATGCATGGTGGCACACTCTTATAATCCCAGCACTCAAGAGGCTGGGGAAAGGAGGATATTTGCAAATTTGAGACCAGCCTGGGCTACAAAGTGAGCCCAAAGCCAGCCTGAACCACATAGCAAGACCCTGTCTCAAAAAGACGAAGAAGAAAAAAATTAATACATGATAGTATAATAAAATTCATTGATTTTTAAACTGCATCAGAGATGTAGCTATTCAAAAATCAGAAGTACTTTGATACATTTTTATTATAGAATGGTGAAATGGAAAAGTTACATTGTGTACATATGAAATGGAAACTGGAAGGTAACATTTGACACAGTAGAAAAATCATGTGGCCAAGTGGTGGTGCATGCTGTAGTCCTGGCACCCAGAAGACTGAGGCAGCAGAAGCGCTTTAAGTTCAAGGCCACCCTGAGCTACATAGCAGGACCCTATCTCAAAAAACAAGAAAACTGTGTGATAAGAGGTCGAAGAGTCTACTTGACCCTTGAGTTTAGTGGTTATTTAATATTTTTCCCTACATTTTTGGCTCTTAACCATCTCAAAATATCTTTATATAACTCCTACCTCCCCTGGCCCCATACTAAAAATCTGAACTTAGGACATGGATTGCGCTTGCGAGGCAGGTGCATATGCTGCTGAGCTATATCGCCAGCCCTGTTTGCTTTGATCTCTGAAGATGACAAATTTTTAAATTTTCAATATAAATGAAATCAAAGATATTTTATTATAACTAATGAATTTTTTTAGCAATATTGGGGATTGAATTCATAGCCTTCATGCTCAGCTGCATCCCCAGTGGGCGTACACATGTGCACATACATCCCCATGTTCATGGTGTATGGGTGTGATAAAGTCTCACTGTGTTGCCCAGACTCAAATTTCTGATCTCGCCTCAGCTTCCAAGTTCTGTAATTATAGGCAGGTGCCCTGTGTCCACTTTGTTGTGGGGGTTCTCTTTTTGTTTGCTTGGTTTTTTTCCCCCCATATTAAAAATGAAGGGGAAAAAAGACAAAAAAATACATAAATAAAAAGTTTTTTTTAAATGGGTAGGCATTATGATTAACAGGGCTAAGGCTAGTATATACAAAAAACTGAAACTACTATAATAGACAGTTTGTCTTATCAGTTGGAACTGGCCAATAAATAAAGAGTAACACTATCAGAAATCTATTTTAAGACTGGGTGGTAGCACACACCTATAATCCCAGCACTCAGGAGGATCGTTAATGAGCTCAAGACCAGCCTGAACTGCATAGTGACACCCTGTCTTAAAAAGACAAAAAAAGAAACCCATTTGTCCAAGTTTTTCTTAAATTTCTGTGAGTTAAACTAGTGACTGTTATTCATACTTGTTATTAATGCTATGTTTGGATTTTTAATTAGAGTTTTTTTAAAAAGTTATATAGATGTATTTTGATTGATAGAGGTCATTAACATGTTGAAGCTTCTTTGGTACATATTAGGTGTACCTAATCCAAAAATCCAAAGTTTTTTGAACACTGCCGTCTACTCAGATATTCCAAAATCCAAAACTTCAAAATCTGAATAATTTCTAGTCCCCAGCAATTGAGACAGTGAATACTCAGGACTTGGGATGTAGCCCAGTGGTCGTGTGCTTTCCTAGGGTGCTCAAGGCCTGGGTTGAACCCTCAAGAAGCAGGATGGGAGAGGGTTTCACATCAGGTGAGGAATACTCACTGTTTATGTTGATAACCCTTTCTAAAATGATTCCTTACACAGTGCATAAAGTATTCTAAGCTTGGAATCTGATCTGAACCAGACTCATGCTACCACTTAACTTTTTTATTGTTCGTTTTTTTATTTTGCACGAATTGCTTAACTGCCTAGGTTATTTTAAGAATTATACTAGAGGCAGGCATGGTGGTGATTGCCGCAAGCTCAAGGCCAGCCTGAACTCCATAGTGAGTTCAAGGCAGCCTGAACTTTGTGCCTAACAAGACCCTGTCTCAAAACACAAAATAAAACAAAAAAAGAATTAAAAATTCAACACAGTATACCAAATAGTATCCTATTCATAAAGGTTGGAATTTGGAATAAGTTAGTGTTAGTTGTTGGTATGTGGTTAGTGAGGTTCTTCCAAGTTCCATTTAGGATGGTTATAAAATGATGTCTTCTGGGGTGGGAATTTAGCTCAGCAGCCTAAGTGCCTGCCTTGCAAAAGGTGCAATCGTGAGTTTGATCCCAGTACCAAAAAAAAAAATGTATTTAACTATGATGTCTTCTGATAATTTTATAAGATTGCAAGCCTTCCTGGGGATATAGCTCAGTGGCATAGCACCTGCCTGGCAAGCATGAGATCCTGAGTTTCATTTCTGGTACCAAAAAAAAAGATTGCAAGCCTTAATATGTATTCACAGCTGCCTACCTAGTGAGCTTATATTCACATCAGTTTTTTTTTGTTTTTTTGTTTTTTTTTTTTTGGTACTGGGGATCGAACTCACTACCTTGTACTTGCCAGGCAAGTGCTTGTGCCACTGAGTTAAATCCCTGGGCCCTCACATCAGATTTTCAATTACCGTTTACCAGCCCACAACTATCCTGTACAAGTTTGATACAGTAGCAGTGTTTGATGAAAGCTTGTGTGATTATCATGGCCAGTTAAAAAGATAACTGTTGGAGTTTTAATTGTTCCTGTGCCTTACACATATAATAATTTTATGCAGTAATTTTGTATGTTCTTTTTCTTGTTTACAACAAAACAAATACAGTTTATACGTTTGCTAAAGAATAGTACAGTTCACAGTAATGTTCCTGTCATATTTATTGCATATACATACCTAAGCCTTATAGTGTGATTTAGAATTACTGTCTGTCTTTCTCATCACACACAACTGAAAAGAAGATAGGTGTACTTGGCTTATTCGTTGTAGAGCTTTCAGTCCATGGTCTGCTGACCCCAAGCAGAGCGGTTCGGCAGAGGAGAAAGAGTTTGTGGCAGGACAGCAGGGGAGAAGGGAGAGGGATGGACCTTTCACAAGCTCTGAGCAGCCATGCAGCCACTGCCCCACAGTCCTGTCTGTGAGCATATAGGGCTTTGGAGAATATTTGATATAAGCCATAACAATTATTTTGTTGAAACTTTGTAAAAGTATCAAAAAAAGAATGGAAACATTAAAGCTTACTAAGATACAACATTCAAATTTTGGGGGGGAAACTTGGCTGGGGATTTAGCTCAGCAGTTCAAGTGCTTGCCTGGTAAGTGTGAGGTCATTAGCTCGATCCCCAGTACCAAAAAAAAAAAAAAACAATGAAGTTGAGGAAAACTCAACTTGGCTCAAAAAACCAAGTGATTTATCCTTAGCTATACTATGGTACAGCCAAACTTGGAATTCTCTGTCAACAAGCATCCTTTCTACTCTCTGTATCAGCATTCTATTCCCTGGAGAATTTAAGTAAAACATCTTAGTTCAAGTATCAACTAGTTCATTGTGTACTTTTTAATAAAATAAATATGTTTTCTTTTTTTCTGTTTGAATAGGTTTAATCAGTTAGAATGGTTTCCGTGCAGTGGGGGAGAGGGGAGTGATGTTTTCTTGTTCACAGCCCTAAGGAGTTAACCTTAGAGACAAGGGCAGTGATAAATGTTCCAAACATTATTTGAACAGCTTCTGAAATGAAGTTATTTTGGGGAGACATCTTCAGGACAGCAAATAAAATGGGTTTTTGTTAGTAAAGAACAAATAGTTTTTATCATCTAATAGACTACTTTCCTTTGTAGGACACAGAAGAATTAGAGAAAGAGATTAGAGAAGAGCTTTCAGTGAATACCTCTAAAACCCGTCCAAAACAAGAAAAAACTTTTTCCTCGAAGACAATGAGCACTAGTGACCCAGCTGAAGTACTGGTCAAAAATAGCCAGGTAATTTTTAAGGAACAATACTTCTGTTGACTCAAGAATTGAACCTTAATGTTTTATTGCAGCACGATGCTAATAAGAATTTTAAATGTGCTGAGTAGACCACAAAACAACCCCAAGAAGAAGGTAAGATTCACTATCTAAATGAAGCCAGAGAAGCTGAATAACTTGCCCAGAGCCACAACACAGAGAGCTCCCTTTTCCACAGTCTGTCCTGAGGCTGCTGAGACCTACAGAAACAGCAAATGAGGAAAACATATGTAGGAAAAGAACCCAGGGCCAGTCTACCTCCTTTAAGCAGCCCTTAATATAACTGATTATAGCCAGGCATGGTGGCTCACGCTTGTAATCCCAGCACTCGGAGGCTGAGGCAAGAGGATCGTTGCGAGTTTGAGACCAGCCTGGGCTACCAAGTACGCTCAAGGCCAGCCTGAAGTTCATAGAAACACCCTGTCTCAAAAAGACAAAAATATGTATATGTATATATTTTTTTCTCACAAAATGTAACATTTGGTAACAAGTTTTTGAGTGATGCACCTTTCTATAGAAAATAGCAGTGTAGCAGAAAAGACCATTAAGCTGGGTGTTGTGATGCACTCTAGCACTCAGGAGGCTGAGAAAGGAAGATTACCCTGAACCACGTAGTAAGACCCTGGCTCATAGAAAAAGAGAGAAGGCAAAACCATTGGATGAAAAGTTTAGGCCAGTGACGGTTGAATTCTACTAAAGTTGCCAGGATCATTTATTCATTCATTTTTTAAAAAATGTATCAAGAATCTACTATATGTCTGTCACAAGCTATCGGAGGTGCTGGGATACAGCAGAGAACAACATGGGTAAAACCACCACCAGCCTTTGAGGCTTTCATATTTAGGAATACAGTTTTTGGCAAACTGAGTTATTGCTAGGTGATTTGTAAGGCTTGTACTAAAACAATTCCCATCATACATCCTGTTTGAATTTGATGTTTAAAATCGCCAAAATAAGCTCGGAAGTAAAAGAATGCAGTCTTCGTGCATTTACAGGTTTCATGATAAATAGCAAGATGTGTATAAGTCATTTTCAGACATCATCTTGAGAAGAATGTTGGAGACTTCTCTGTGACTAAATGTCAGTGAGAAAATAGGAAAAAGATTTTAAAATACCCAGTAGAGGGGTGGGGGGGTGGGGGTTAGCTCAGTGGCATAAGTGCCTGCTTGGCAAATTCGAGGTCGTGAGTTCAATCCCCAGCACAAAAAAAAAAAAAAAAAAAGAAAGAAAAACCACTAGAGCTTTTGAATGTAAAATAAACACAGGAAACATTAAGAAAAATCAAGAGCTAAGCAGTATAAATTGGGCTCAGACAGCTCAAACCAGGAGCACATGAGCTCACACTGCTTCTCTGTCATTTTTGCACTGGGCTTTGAACCATGGAGTCTGCGAAAGCAGGATTGCCTCACTTCAGAGTTAAGAGCAAGTAGTCTCAGGGAGCGCCACCAATGCAGCGACCGCCTTGCCTCACACACTCAAGATACTCCGGATGTTAGGTTTTTCTTTGTTTTGTTTTGTTTTAATATTATTAGCATTTTTTAAATTGCCTAATCTTGACATTCACCTGTGGCTCTACCCCAGTGAGGTTTTTGGTGTTGTGTTTTGGTATTAGGGACTGAACCCAGGACCTTGGCATCAGAGCTGTGTTCCCCAACCTCCTTTTAAACTCAGGGCAAAGGCTTTGGGTTCAGTACGGTGGGCCTGTGGGCCCTGCCGTAGTGCTCTAATTTTACTACCAGGGTAAGTCTAGATTTAGTGAGGCCTGGTGCCAGGGCTGCTACTGATTGAAATAACTCTTCCTGTTGTATATCAGCTACCAGTCACTTAGGAGTTTGCTGCTTCCCTTTATCCTCAGCAAAAAAATTTTTATAAGGTCAGGTGGGAAGTGGGATCGTTAAATTGCTAAAGAATATAAAAGTACTGTAACTTGTAATGAAATAAAATCTAAAAGTTAATGAAACTTAAATTATTCCCTGTTTGAAAGCCATTTTACAATTTTATGCCTTCGTTCTTGGCTATATTCAAAAATATCGTTACCCATGGTTTATTTGGTCGCTAGAGGGCAGGCATGAGTTGCATTGCTCTGCTGGTAAATTGCTTGGAAACCATCTTAGTGTTTACTTGCTGTTAAATGGCCTCTTGATATTAATGTGATAGTATTTGGAAGTTTTTATAAAAATTCTGAAATAATTTTATTCCAAAATAGCCTGTGAAGACTCTTCCACCTGCTGTTCCCACGGAGCCATCTGTTCCCCCAGCAAAAAGTGATTCTGACAAGAGCTCTTCCCAAGTGCCACCGCTGCTCCAGGAGACAGATAAGTCCAAGTCCAGTACCAAGCAGAATAGTGTGCCTCCCTCACAGAGTAAGCAACCCACTTTTCTGTTCCTTTGCATCCATCCATGTTTGTGAAGGTCGTGATCTTAGAAGCCTACTGAGTTAGTCAGCAGCCCTTCCTCCCTGTGCGAGTGCTAGCTGCCTTGGACGCTTATGGGCTTGAGCTGTGGGGGGCAGGTTCCTAAAAGAATTTAAGGAGAGACAAGTGGTCAAGGACAAAGAAGACTTGGGGCTAGATGCAGTGGTGCACACCTGTAATCCCAGCACTCTAGGATACTGAACAGGAAGATCACAAGTTTGATCCTGCCTATCCTGGGCAGCTTAGTGATTTAGCCTTTGTCTTAAGATAGAAATAAAACAGGGTGGGGGTGTAGCGCAGTGTGAACTTTGGTACCTACCTTCTTGACTGACTGATCCCGCTCTTTTGTTGTTGTTGTTCATGGTCTTGGGAGATACAAATTGTCCTGTACCTTTTTTCCTCTTCCTTTCTGCCTTTGACCGTCTTCAGTGTCCATTTCACCCACATCCTTTTGTGTCCCTTACACTGAGGTGTATCAAATGGTGCTCTCCAGCTGGCCTCTGTGCTTCTCAGCAAGTTGGGAGGAGGATTGCAAGAACCTAGCAATTGGAGACCAACATAGGTAACACGGGGTGCCATTTCAGAAAGAAATGGTCTCTAGTCAGAACTGGTTGGCACCAACTGTGGCATCCCTGCCTGTAATCCCAGCATCTGGGAGGCTGAAACACAAGGCTGTCAAGTTTGAGAGCAGCTTAGGCTACACTGAGTTCAAGGCCAGCCTGAACTCTGCATCGTGAGACTTCTCTCCAAAAACAAAACAATGGATCACATACCAGCAGAAGCATATCTAGTGATACATTGATATAATAGAGGTTAACTTAAAAATACATGTGTAGGACTTGAAAAACAAAATTTAAGAATTTTAAGGCATTTTTTTCATAGTTGCTGTTTTTGTATTAATGAGACATAACAATATTTTTCAGCTATCATCTCTCTCCATTCCCATTTTTTTCTTCCAGCCAAGTCTGAAACTAACTGGGAATCTCCCAAACAAATAAAAAAGAAGAAAAAAGCCAGACGGGAAACGTGAATTTTTTTTTCCCTGAATTGGACATGTGTTTGCAAACACTGTCTTGAAGATTATGCTGTTTATGCAATAATTTGTGAACATGTACAGAGTTTTACATAAATTTAAACCAGTTTTTAAAGCAAAACTGTGAACATAACCACCATAAAAATGGAATCAAAGGAAAGTTAATTTATGAAATTAAGAGGCCAGCAGAAAATACTACAGTGCTGGAAGAACTTGGGAGAGACTCTTCAACTGAGGGAGAACGCTGTTAACTTAAGAACACGATCCTGGTTTTACAGCAGTGCCCTGTTTACAGCAGCTCATGCCCTGTCTCACCTGCAGTGAGGGGCGATGTATTCTGGCCAGAGGGGCCACCTGTGCGCCAGAGGCGACTCCTTGGATCTTATGCACGAACTTTTACCATTGAAATCTGTTTTATGCTTAAATGAAAGTGCTTTGATCAAATGCATAATCTGCCATATCTTTACATATTGGTTGATAGCAGTTTATATTAAAGGAATCACAAGTGCAAATAAAAAGTCATTTATCATTTATATAACTAAACTGTCGTGGTTTAGTTTACGGTTTTTAAAAAGTTCTTAAGTGAAAATGCAATTGACACTTGTATGGCTTACGAAGTTATTTTTGATAGTCTTACATTACTTGAATTGTTCAAAGTACAGTATATTTTAAATTAAGGGTAAACTATGTGTACTTGTTTTATAATTTAAGGTTCAAACTAACAAATAATGCTCTTATGATTTGAAAACTTTCAGGCTAAATCCAGCTTCTCCTTTCCCTACTAACTATTTTTTTCCAGTGTCAACTCAGTTGTCAACAGTTTTTTTATTTTAAAAATGAGATCATTCACAACCCTTGAGTATGTGACGGGGAATGAAACGAGAGTGAGACAGCTTTAATTGACATTGTCAAGACCTCCAGTTATCAGGAACACATTTTGTTACTGCCTTAACCTGTAGTGAGTAGAATATGCATCAATTTCTTGAAGAGGATTCGTGTTTTTATAAGAATTTTCATGTAATTATTGCAATTGTAGTCAAGGAACGTTTTCTGCTTGAGACTGTATTGATTTCAATGATGTGGGAGATGTTTCACCATTTTCAGGCACTGTGTAATTCTATTGTAACAAACTGGCAGGTACCTTTGTAACTATAAATAGTGCATGCTTGGCCATGTACACTGTAAATAGCCTTTACCGGATGTGTTTGACAAGGACCATAATTAACATCACTTAGCGAGTCGTGATAAAGAAAAAAGCCATGATTTATTTGATGTGACTGGCTTAATTGTTTATATGTGGCGCCAAGGATGACACTGTTTAACAGCGTAACCAATGGTACTGATCTACCCATCCCATGTTGTCCTTATTATATTTGATTGTGGTTTAATAGTATTACATTGTCCGACATGGAAAGCTGAAGAAACAGTGGTTTTAGTTTTGCTGAATGAAGACTGGCCTTATTCATGGACAGCTTTCCTAACAGGCAGTTACTAACTTTTATCAGGTGTTAACATCTGTTTCAGGAACATGGCAGTATGTTTACATGTCAGAAGTTTTGTTTAATTCTATGATATTTCTAAATCGATTTGTTAAAATAAATTCAGCAAATGGGTAGCATTGTTTTCATTTGCTTCAGTCTGGGGGTAGGTTAAGCTGAAGTGCCAGGAATAGGTTTCTTCAAATGACTTAATTTTGCTCGTTTTATTTGTTTGCTAAATAGATCTGAGGATTCCTACATTGTCAGCACTTTGTAAAAGTTTCACAGAGAGAATCTGATAGGGAGCCTGTAATTTTAGTGTGTGCCAAAAGGTCTCTGCTCAGAAATTTTAATTGAACTCTCAACTCTACCTCGCCATTTCTTTATCTTAAAATTCTGGTGACTGTCGTGTGCCAGACTTTATCTTTGCAGTTCAACATACCCCAACCAGCCACCTTCGCCAAGTTGGATGGATCCAGTGTGGAGAGAGCCTCTGTCGCCTCTGGCCTGGGAGCTAAGACACCAACTTGATGTTTGAAGAGGTGGTGGTTGTGTGAGTGAATAAAAGTCATCCCATTCTCTCTCACTGTTCATTGCTCTTTGCCTGTTCTGTAAGGTGTTTTTGTGACATCAGGCACTTTCTGGTATCTGAATGGAGGGACTGGTTTCTTGACATCACATCAAAAGATACCAAGCTCTAGGTAGTCATTTCAGAAGGAGGAGAGGAAGAGAAGCCTGCTGTCCTGCGGGGCCTGACTCGGGCTCCTTCGCTGCTAGCAGGGAATGGCTGACCTTCAGGCTGCTGCCAGCGAGCGCACCTCCAGAAAATCACAGGGCACTCCACCCCGCCTGGCTTCAACCTATCTGTGAGGCCTCCTGCTGCTCTAGGGAGTTGTAGCTTCAGATTTTCCAGACTGGAATCCTGCCTGCCTGTGCCCTGGAATGAGCCTAACAACAGTTAAAGAGAGTCAAGAAGAAAGCACTGAAATTAATGTGATTTATGGTTTACTTTGCATCTTATTGGGCAGGGGTGGGCAGGCTAATTTATCCTAGTCTAACAGTATAATTTCATAAGCTAGTCCAGTTTGTGTTGGGGATAAAGGTACCAAAGTATATTTAATTACAGAGTTGAGTTTTTCTTGATTAGACAGTCCTTTATTAATACAGTGTGAAATACCTTTCAGAGTTTAGAACTTAAGGTGTCTAATGGATATCTTAAGATTTTCCTGTAAACATTGCACAAACTGGAATCACTTTCCAAAAGGCTTAAGGAATGAAAATGTGTTTATGTAAGATGCATTAAGTGTTGTAAATAAAACAAGCCATTCTCGTTTTGTTTAAATTGCTTGTTAACAGTTCTCTTGTGGGAAGGGACTTGGCCGTGTTAAATCCTGACCTAGTAAAAAGGTGGCTGCATTTTGTTCTTGATTCCCCTCCCTACTCCCAAAACAACATAGATTGAGAGCTGTACCATGAGAGTCTGGTAGAGCTGAGCATCTCTGAAAAGTGGCCACAGTGTTCACCATGGAAGACACTTGTGTCCTGGGCCATAGAAACCGTAGGCATCGCTGCTGCGGTGTGCAGTAGATTGCTGGTGTCGACTTGCTGCTCTATGGTAGGTGTCCGTCGGTTCACTCGTGGCTGAGGTGAGTTAGAAACTTGTTTCTCATGGATTAAGGCTCAGGAACCAGTCCAGGGCTGCAGGGTAAGGTCCAGCTCCACCCTCGCATCCTGGCTCTGCTGTCAGGCCTAAGGACAGCTGCCTGCTGCCTGTGCTGTGAGGCTCCTGTAGGGGACAAGGCAGCTCCTGTCCTCTGAGAGCAATCACCCACACTGTGCAGAAAATGGGAGTGAGCCGGATAGAACCTCAGCAACAGAGACACACAGAAGGCACACAGTTTATTGACCTAGACTGGTGAAGCACCTCAGTTCCAAATCACCAGCCTCATCTGAGGGTTAGTTAGACGTAGCTGTTCTTAACAGGATGTACAAAAAGGCTGATAACAGAACTTTCTCTGGTTGGTTACATACTGCCTTGTCATGCATTGTTAGATTTATTTCAGGCAGGTTAGCTGGGGGTTACTTACCCTATAGCAGGAAGGGCAGGGATAGGGTGAGCAGGAAAAATCAATCACTATTTACACTCAACTGAGCTGTCTGGGTGGTGACTCCTGGAACCGTGGAAATGCACTTCGGTCTGCGTTACATTGGCCTTATGGGCTTTGATGTTGGGATGCCATGACTAGCTGAGTTTTGCCACTCTAATTATGGGAACAGGTTAGACCTGCCTTTCCCATTCTTGAATATAGTGGCAGACTAAGATTTACATTTTAAATTTTCTTTCTCAAGGGCAGGTGGTCCAGCTCTGTGTCACAAGTGCCTGCCTGGCAAGTAAGTGCAAGGTCCCAACTTTTGATTCCTGGTACCAAAATAAAATAAAATTTCCTTTACAACACCTCAGACACATTGGGCCCTAGCAGCCAGAAAGGTTGAGAGCTAACGGTCTATTCTGCCCTGTTGGAGTTGGCTCAGTTAACATTTAAGATTGTGTTAGTGAGGAGAGAACTGGGTACTGGACTGTTAGTGGCCCACCAGTCTCCTCTGTGGATGGAGCCCAGCAGTTTGGAGGGTTTTGCTGCTTCTTTGAACTGGTTTGCAGTGCTGGGGATGGAACCCAAGGCCCTTGCACCATGCCTATCTTTATTTTTTGCAACAGAATGTCTCTCAGTTGCCCTGACTGGGCTTGAATTTATGACTGGGCTTGAATTTATGACCCTCCTGCCCCATCCTCCCACGTACTGGGATTGTAGGTATATTCCACTGTGCTTGCCTGACCCTAGCATTTTTGCAGTCTTGTTTTAGCTTTTCAGCTGAGCAGAAATTTTGTAATCTCTTGGGCGCTACTCAGAGTAGCAGCTAATGTCCCCAATTTCTGTATGTCAGGTTCTGAAGAAATTTCTGCGTTCAATGACTGCTTTAAATTCTAGAGACAGAAGCCGAGAGAAACCCCATGATCAATCACATAACTTAGGTAACAAAATTTTAATGGAATTATCGCCCTAAAAGTAAGGTAATCCTGCTGTTTCTGTCTTGAATGCTTTTAACAGGACAGTGATTTCTGACTGGACTTAATATGGATCAAGACATATTTGGGGTGTGAGGTATTTGCCAACTAACTGTTGCTTTGTGCGGTTTTTATGTACTGCAGACATACACAATTAAAAATTAGAAAGTTGGGCTGGGGATTTAGCTTAGTGGCGTATGTGCCTGCCTGGCAAGCTCGAGATCATGAGTTTGATCCCCAGTACCAAAAAAGGGAAAAAAATTAGAAAGTTGAGCCGGGCATGGTGGTGCACGCCTGTAATCTCGGCATTTGGGAGGCTGAAGCAGGAGGCTCATAGTGAGTTGGAGACCAGCCTGGGCTACAAAAGGAATTCAAGGCCAGCAGCCTGAACTGCATAGTGAGACCTTGTCTCAAAAAGACAAAGAAAAGAAAGTGGGCTGGGGATATAGCTTAGTGGCACAGCATCTGCCTGGCAACTGCAAGTTCTTGAGTTCAATTTTTGGCCTCAAGCACCCTCCTGGCCCTCTGAAAAGTGAAACCTAAAACGGTGTAAATACCAGGCATATCTGCACGGGGCACTGATGACACAGGGTGCCCATGTGGGGCGACAGCCATGAGTCTAATGCTGAGTCAAAGCCTAAATTATAGAGACGTGCAGCAGCAATGCTTAACAGAATTCAACAGCCAGCTCCAAAGTAGACTGACTGGGGGTTTTTTTATGTTTTTTGGCGGGAGGACAGTAACTCACTGTGTAGCCCAGGCTGGCACCCAAGTCACAGTGATCCTCCTGCCTCAGCCTCCCGAGTGCTAAGATTACAAGCCAGTGCCACCATGCTCTGCTGAAGTTCTATTTTTTGTTTGTGGATGTAGCTCAGCAGCGCAGCACCTGCCTGGCAAGCGTGAGGCCCTGTGTTAGAGTCCCGGTATAAAAAGTTCTATTTTAAATGTAAGAGAAATGACAAAAGTCACATCAAAATGAGAGCAGAAATATGGCTACTACTACTCATCAACACTGCCTTAGACTACGATAAAATAAATGGGAATACCATAGCATGGAAATAGAAGAGAAAGCCTTTTTGTTGGATACCTAGAAAATCCAGGAGACTCCAATAGAACATTACTGAAACGGGCTGGGGATTTAGCTCAGCAGCATAAGCATAAGCAGGCAGTCGTGAATTCGATTCCTGGTACTGATTTAAAAAACAAAATGAAACTAAGACTACACTGCAGTTTAAAACATAATTTCCTATATTAAAAAACAAAAAGGATATGATACGATAGCTATGTAAGTCGGTAGTGTTGGGGACTCAGGACTGCAGACCCTGTCTAAAAAAAAGGGCAAGAGGCAGCTCAGCGTGAAAGCCCAGATTCCCCCCTCAGCACTGGGAAGAAAAGTTAACCCTTTAGTACAGTTAAATACAGTCATCTTCACCTGGCCTTCCTGTCTTAAGACTTCCAAACCCTTAAGTTCTATGTGCAGTTGCTTTGTCATCTGTGTGTGTATGTGTGGTACTGGGAGTTGAACCTAAAGGCGTCAACCTGAGCTACATCCCTAGATCCTTTTTACTTTTTTATTTATTTGGTACCAGGGATTGAACTCATAACTTCACACTTGCCAGGCAGGTATGACGTGCTGAGCTAAACCCCCAGTCCCCCAGATACTTTTTGCTTTGGCACCAAATCTGGTAAATCACCAAGTTGCCCAGGCTGTATTTAAATTTGGAGTCTCCTGCCTCAACCTCCCAAAGTGCTGAGATTGCAGGTATGTGCCACTAACTACACTTGTGTCTTAGTTACTTTTCTTGTTGCTGAGACAAAATACCTGACACCCAAAGTTAAAGGAGGAAAGTTTTATTTAGCTCACAGTCTGTGTAGGTTTCAGTCCATAATTGGCTGGCTGCAAGGCAGGGTGGTGTGGTGGCATGGGGGTGGGGGGTCCACAGTTCCTGGTGGGGAAGACAGCAAAAAGCAGCAGGAGAGGCAGAGAAGCCTTGTATCATATGCAGACTTACTGCCCTAGGACCGGTGCAGGATTTAAACCCTTAATCCCAGCTTCCAGCAATAGACGACAAACCGATCACAAACTAGATTCAGCCTCCTTGGGAAAACCTACCCCTCATGCCTGCATGAGGCTTTGGGGGTCATCCAGACACAAACCATAGCAACGTGGTTCTGAGTTAGGACTCTTTTTAAATGTTTCATTCCTTAATTGAACCTGGTATTTATTTTCTTATGGGCCCAGCTTGTTACTTTCAGGTAAGATGGTAAGTAAATCACGTTATACTGAAAACACCTAAATTGTATACAAAATGCCCACCTATTTGTGGATTCGCTGCCCCATCTCACTAAGTCGTGCCTTTTGTAGGTAACTGTTAGATTACATGGGTGTAATGGGTTGATGCATTCGGGCTGCTCAGTGAATCCATCTGGCATATCCTCTCCTTTCGGAGTTCCCCCCACCCAGCCAATACTCCTTTGCAGTAGGCCTCGCTGCATGGGTGTCATCCAGCCACTGCCAGGCATAATCCCAGCGTTCCGAGGCTGAGGCAGGAGGATCACAAGTTCAAACCCCGCCTGAGCAAGTTGACAACTCAGATTCCGTCTGAAAAAAAGACCTGGAGATGTTGCTCAGTGTGGAGGCGCTGCAGGATAGTCTGCAGGCCACAATCAGGAGAGCTGCGGGGGCTGCAGTGTTCCCATTGGCCAGGCCCCCTGGGACTCCAGTGTAACAGCCAGTCCTTTTCAGGGTCTGGCGCTTTGTTTCCACTGCAAAGTTCCTGCCCCTCCCCCACTGTGCATTATTCTGGAGCTTAATCCAGTTCCCATTGGTTTAGGGCATCTTTACTTTTGGGAATCCTCTGACACTCTCTGAAGGGAACTTCACTCTGCATTCCTTCCAAAAGATCGGTATTTTTATTTTTCAAATAAAACCAATACAGCTTTCCACCTGTCGTGGTGGTGTGCACCTGTAACCCCAGTACTCGGGAGGCTGAGGCAGGAGGATCGCCACGACTTCGAGAGCAGCCTGAACTACATAGCAAGACCTTGTCTCAAAAAAACAAACAAACAAGTAAATGGCTAGCCAAGTCTGGTGATGCACACCTGTAATACCAGCATTCTGGGAAGCTGAGGCAGGCAGGACGACTGCAAATTTCAGCCCAGTCCGGACAATTTCTATCTTAGCCAGACCCTGTCTCAAAATTAAAAAAGGGATGAAATTGTAGAAAGGCCTTGAGTTCATGGGAGCTGACCATAAAACGAAACCGTGAGCCACAAGA